CTCTCGGAATCAGTCCATTTCTCAAACAATCTCTGCCAGCCCGCCTCTCCTCTGGGTCCGTATCCATTTGGGGAATCAATCAGCCTGTCCTCCTCTCAAACCGTCCGTTTCTCAAACAATCTCTCAGCCTGCCCTCCTCTCGGGGTCCGTCCATTTCCTCAAACAATCTCTGCTTTAATGCAAACCAAGTTACCGATTTAACACTAATTAAATTGCGCAGATCCTCAAGAAATCATGAAATTCTTGAAGCATATTATTTTTTCCTTGATACAAATTCTCATAAGAAGAAAAGATCTAAATAACAAACTGTCTCTTGCGACATTAAAATTGCCGAAATAAACAGTTATTACCGGGCGGAACGAAAAAAGAGACCAAGAATTACAGAGATAGGGAAAACCTTGTCAGTATCGGCCTTGGAACATTCTATTTTTATACCGGCATCCGAGAAAGAAAAAAGGATGCTGTTAAATGGTGGGGACAAATGAAGCTCGTAGCCAGTAGCCTGGGAAAACCGCAATGTGATGATTGACGAAGGCAACTGTGGATTGCGCCTGAGGTCACGGAGCCGAGATTCGGGGGGCACCACCAAAATTTACACCCTCCCGTCGCCACTCAAAACACAGGTCAGCGAAACAACAGTGCCGCAGGCGAAAAAATTAGAAAACCGCGTTGGTAACGCTTAAATTCGGGAAAACACATCGGAAACGAATCGGAAACGGATCGGTAAGTTTGCCTGCCCCAAAGATTGTGCCTCGAAAGAAGCCCTGGCTATTCGCTATTGATCGGGATTTTAAACGCCATTCGATAGAGCGTCAAAAATATACGGAAGAGTTTTGATTTGCCTACACAATGAAAAGTCGTTTGCAGGCAAAAAAATGTTCACAAATAAAATTGATACATTCCCGAAAAATTGGCGCGGTGCCGGAAAATCTTTGGAAAAAATAGGTTTTATTACTATCAGGTTGGAACGAAAAGAAATGTCGAGTTTGAAGGCTGGATAAATCTCGTAGATGCTATATCTCACACACGATACGGCATTTTGGGTTCGGCCTGAATAGTCCCGAAGGAGGTCCCGGGCCTCAAAGAACGGCCGAGAGGCTCAAGAAGATCTTTCAAAACGAGGCAGAAAGTGTCCTAAGTTACTCTGCATAATACACGCATGCGATACCTTTAACGCCAATCGATAGCCTTGCGGAGCAGATTAGCGATAATGGCTGAGATCATCGAACCTGGGATTGGCTGCGATCGCCGATATGAGAACTCGAAATCGGCCCCACTAGAATCCTCTCACAATCCCATAGCGATTTCCAAGCACGGACGGATAGGTGCCGAAAATTACCGCTTGATTTTTGGACTAGCGGTGTGGATTTTGGAAAACGTATGGGATTGTGAGAAAAGTTCTAAGAAATGGGCCAAATTTCAAGAGTCCATACTCGGCGATCCAGTGTCCAAATTTGATGATCTCAACCACTCATCACATCTACTCCGCAAGAGCTATCGATTGGCGTTAAAGGTATCGCACGCAAACGTATTTATGCAGAGATAACTTGCAAAAACACTTTCTCGTGATTTCGAAAATCTTCTTGGGCCTGTATCTCGGCTGTTCTGATTTTGAGGGCCCAGGACCCTCTTCCCGGGACTATTCAGGCCGAGAACGACAAAATGACATATCGCATGTGCGGAATGGAGCTATCTACGAATTTAGCCAGCCTTCCAAAATCCGGCGACAGAACCTCGTTCCAACCTGATATATCTAAATTTCAATGTCCGTGATCCCGCCGACTGGAATTCAGCCAAATTTTAGCATTCAAATCCAAATTCAAACGGTGGAAGGCGCTGAACACCCGCGTAGCGGGGGGTCAGCGCTGGTTGTAGCTTAAATTGTTTTAAAAACAAAATAAATAGCGCCGCAGGCAGAAAAATCTTTATGAAAAATCATAAGGGTCCCCCTCATGGAAACCTTTCGCACTCGCCCGATTTCGGGGGCAGGGCCTTTTTTTATTATTATTAAAGGGACCCATTATCGAACCTTTGATATTCGGTAAAACACTTAAATGTTGGTTAGGTTTTGGAACTATTTTAAGAAAACCGAACTTTGCCGAGTTCACTGCATAGACCGGGGTCTGTGTCCTAAAATTTTGCGAAACACTGGCAGGAAACGGCAGAAAACCGAGGGACGACGTAAGACAGAAACACGCCAGAGAAAAGCGCTTTTTTAAATTTTATTTGAAGGATTTGTGTTTGTGAACTTCCCAATACGGGGGCGGGGCTCATTTTTGCAACAACAGAACATCTGCACTACCAGACACTAAAAACTTCTGTTTTCAAAAATTGTTGAAACATGAAATTTGCTTAATCAATTTGACGGAGAAACCGCAAAGCTTAGAATTTTTTTCAAATTATTTAAAGGTATGTTGATGCAGAGGAATTAGCGGTTAACCATTATAGACGCTACCTAAGTTGTTCCGGAATTTTTGTGAAACCACATAGGTGCAAATTTTGAGAAAATCCCCAGAAAAAAATTGAATAAGCATAGACGGGATGCAAAAATGTTGGATAATTTGAAACGTTAATATGTATTGCGTGCAATACGAATTTCTGACACGCCAATTTTGCACGCGCTTTTCCGGACGGAATTAACAAACGAGTCATCACTCTGGTTTTGAAAAGTGATGAAACACGAATTTTGCCGTTAATTTAGCGAAGGTGCAGCACGCGACCTGAATGCAGCTTGCGTACCATCAGTGTGTTTAAAGCGTTACGCTAGGTAAGGGCAAGAGCGTGGCGTGCGTGCCAAGGTATTTAGGGAATCTTAGCCAAAAACTTATCCTCACGCCTTTCTTGTCCCTTTAAAAGGGCAGAGTTCAAAAAACGCAAGCGCCCGACGATTAACGGGTTTTTTCGGCACCCTATGGCATCTTTTTTGTGAAACATTGAATCATCAGAGAAGTATCCGATCAATCTAATCGCTAATTATGATATTTAAATTGCGCAACGAAAGTGAAGAGCAGAATAGAACTTGTAATTATCATATGCGGCAAGCGGGTCTGTGGAATGCCGCAAATAGCTTATCGGGAACAAGGGAACTTTTTGAAACACATAAAAATACAGTTTAAGCATCAGAATCATACAACATACATCATCATCATACAAGCATCAGAATATTACTTCAGAAAACCGCGAAAAAAGCATTAAAAAATTGGCAACCCAAAATAATTGTAGTAGTATAGAAATTCATCTGAAGATACGGTTTAAAGGTACCTGCGGTTTCTAAACGCTTTTTAAGATGTTTCGGATAGCTTTTCACGGGCCTAAATTGTAAGTGAAGCAGCGTAAGTGGCGCACGGAATTATTCGAATAATTTGCGTTGAACAAGATGAAGAAACACATAAAACTGTCAGAAAATATTGTATCATTGAGCGTCTGGATTTTCGCTAAGAAAACGCAAATGAAAATATAGAGAATAAAATTAGCAATTTAACTAATTGGCGGGCTTAAAGAAAGAGATATTCGCCAAATTAAATTCTAAGCCAAGCCCAAACCTAAGCGAAGCTTAAGGCAAGCCAAGCCTAAGCTGAGGCTAGAAAGCTCAGCATTTAAAAGAAGCAAAAAAACCCTAAACCTTTTGCCGGTCAGGCCGGGAGGCGCGCCCCTGAAGACCCCGGTCTTGCTATGGCCGGTTCAGAGGGGGCAGGGCAATTAGCAGTATATGGCCGTTTCGAAGTAGAAGAGAAGGCACTGGGTGACCGGTCCCAATTACCGTATCCCCTCCCCCACACCAACTAGCCACCACCCAACTACGCCCCAATACTACTTACACCCTCACCCAAAGGGAGGAGAGGAGAAAACGACACACTCCTATAGACACCCCTCGAAATCCACGGAAAAATATGGGTACAAAGAAATTGGCATGGATTTGCCAGGGGGATGTTTTGAATGGGTGCAGCGCTCCGCGCTACACCCCCAAATTACACCCCCTCAAGGAAGGGATTTCACTTTTTGGAGGATTTTGTGACTTCCAAAACGAATGGGGCAAACTAGCAGAGATTGATTGAGGAATTGGACGGACCCCGAGAGGAGGGCAGGCTAGCGAGATTGAGGAGGAAATGGACGGCCCCTGGAGGAGGGCAGGCTAGCAGAGATTGGAGGAGGAAATGGACGGACCCCGAGAGGAGGGCAGGCTAGCAGAGATTGATGGAGGAAATGGACGGACCCCGAGAGGAGGGCAGGCTAGCAGAGATTGTTGGAGGAAATGGACGGACCTCGAGAGGAGGGCAGGCTAGCAGAGATTGTTTGAGGAAATGGACGGCCCCTGAGAGGAGGGCAGGCTAGCAGAGATTGGAGGAGGAAATGGACGGACCCCGAGAGGAGGGCAGGCTAGCAGAGATTGTTTGAGGAAATGGACGGACCCCGAGAGGAGGGCAGGCTAGCAGAGATTGTTTGAGGAAATGGACGGACCCCGAGAGGAGGGCAGGCTAGCAGAGATTGTTTGAGGAAATGGACGGACCCCGAGAGGAGGGCAGGCTAGCAGAGATTGTTTGAGGAAATGGACGGACCCCGAGAGGAGGGCAGGCTAGCAGAGACACAGCAGAAAGAATACGATTTGCAACCGAATTTCTGAGCAAAATGTTGTGCTTTCGGGAACTTTCGTACTCAATTTGACTATGTTTTTGCAATTACCATCGGCGATTTTCAGTAATTTGCCAAAAATGTTCATTTTCGGGTCGTCTTTGGTAATTTTGGTGAGAAAAAGTGATGAAAGTCCCAATTTAGACGCTATTTTGGATTTAGTTTGCTACGGATCTCATCTAGATTATTTAGAGATTTTTTGTGTTGAATGTGTGTTTTGGATTTGGAAAACGGCGCATGACACCTGGCAAAACCCGCCCCGGCGTGGCGAATTTCCACCTGCCGGAGGATCTCACGTACTCCTGGGGTGGGCTATTTGCGGTATGCCTTGCAAGAAGCCAGCCGCAACGTGCCGACCAGATTTCTTCAAAATGGCGTTGCTCGTTTACGAAGAGCCCGTGCTCTACATCAAGACAACGGCAATCACCGGGGTGCTGTCGACGCTGATCAACGGCGGAACCCTCTACCTGATTGCTTCGGCGACGTCGAAGCGAATGGGGCAATACCGCAACTTTTTGTTGAACTATCAGGTCAGTCGGTGGGCAGTTCGGGGGTGCAAATATGAGTGCTACCTCTGATTTTCCCAACAAAGCCGCTTCGAAAAAGGGGAAATCCTACAAATCGCTTGTAAAATAGCGCATTCATAAGAAAACATGGTTAAGATGGTTGTGTTTTGTGAATTACTGGTAAAATGATGGGGTTTAAATCAAAACATTGTTTTGAAAATTGTTGCAAACTGGCCAGCTTCAAGGGCCGTCGAATGGTGTAACTACCTTTCCCATCCGATACTTCTGCCTCGAGTCACAGGGGGATGTCAAATACCCCCGGGGGTATTTTCCAAAAGGGTTTTCCAACTCTAACTGTTAGGCCGTGACGTCCACCGTGGAGCTGTTGCTGAAGCTCTCGATGATCGAGACCTTCCAACCTGCCCCGGCAGCGCGTTTTCACAGTCCGCTGCTGACGTTCGACGTCAAAATCTGGATGGTAAGTCCATGCGTGAAAGTCCCTTTTTAAAGGTACACTAAAATCTCGTTGGTTTGGTTACCGGCCGGTATCGGTCCGCAGGATAGCAAACAGGGTTACGGTAGGGGCTCCCCGCGGAGCAAAACCGAACCCGAGCCACTCGCCTGGGGCCCGCGCTTTGGACCACTAGGCCATGGGAGAGCGGGAGAGGGGGACAGGATGAGGGATAAGAAGGGTCGGGCCATAGGCAACAGGACCCAAATTCCCGACCGCCACCGAACTTTTGAACGAGATTTTAGTGTATCTTTAACGGGGTTTTGGCTACGGGGGTATCTGAAACCATCAGGAAGGTATATAAGTCGTTTGTTAAGGGTTTCGGCTAAAGGGGTATCTAAAGCCTTCAGGAAGGTATCTAAGTAGTTTTTTTTAAGGGTTGGGCTATGGGTGGTATCTGAATCCATCAGCGTGGTTTTGATCAAGGTATGGGGTGATGTGGGGTGTAGACTATGGAGGGCAGCCGGAATCAGCTGATACAGTCGCGAGCGGCTGTAATCGGCTAGTTTAGTGATTGTGGATGTAGCGATTATGAAAGTTCCCCGCTGCAGGTAATCGCCGCGTGTTTGGCCACGGCCCTCACCGTTGCGACCGGGCTTTGCCTCTTCTACCGCCATCGGCAAGTGTTGCCCCTCGGGCACTGGGCGAGGTGGGGCTTCGATTTTCCTGCAGATTTCCAAATGTTTCATATTCACGGCTACATGCAATGGGAATAACAAGCAATGAAAGATGATGTTCAGATGGAAGCCTACACACCTCGCCATTTTTTTCATCGTGAGCTACGTATTTTATACGGGTCTGCTCAGCTACTCGCTGTGCTGTGCGACGCTGGCAAAAGGCCAAAGCACGATATTATTTGATTGGATCAGGGTGCGTTTTTGCGTGTTGCGTGGTAAGGAGCCGGGCAGGGGTTTGTCTCTTCGTAAATCATACTTTGAAAATAAGTTTGCATACCGGTGGCTCTACGCAATTTTTTTGACGTTTGATTTTCGAAAACATTGCTGTCCAAAATTGCCCCCGAACAAGTGATTTTTAAAACAGCTCGTTTCCAAAATATGATTTTTTGAAAAGCGTATGTCAATACTCAGAATTGCCAAAATTGCCTGCCTCAAAATCTGATTCGTGGCGCCCCAAAATCCAGGATTTGAGCATTGAGCAAATTTGAGCAAATTTCAGGTACACCCCGAATTTCAAATACTGCAAACGGTGCCGGAGGTCTGGATCGGCGATTTTACGCCAACCACGGCAATCGGCCCCAACGCTGGGGAGTTGTTCATGGTGGTGGCTGCCATGCTGCTCCTGGAAATCATTGCCGTGGTAATGCCGATCGTGCTGTGCGTATCAAAATGACGCGGGGAGCCGTGTTATTGGTATACGTAGGAAGGGGATCAAATTTTTTTTTACAATAAAAATGTTAGGGGTTGGAAAAAAACAAGTTTTTTGCCGGGCTATAAAAACCGGGCCCCCGCTGAGGGGCGGGATATCAACCACGGGGAAAAGGAGGGGGGGGCCCGCCAGAGAAGGGAGGAGGGGAGTCCCCTACGTCCATAGGGTGTAGTTGGGACGAGTAGGCCTGAAGGTTTGGTTAAGTATCTATCAAAACATTGTTTGAAAATTGTTGAAAACTCGCCGTTTCCCGCAAACTTGGGTAATTGAACCAATGTCCGTTCTCGGTTCTCGAAAGTTCCAATTATCCGATCTGTCGAACTGTTACTTCGGATCAGTGGGCCAGGTGCACGTCTTTTACCTTCCAGCATAAGGCTTGCCTGGGGGTGTTTTTTGCTCCCCGGAAGGGGGTTTCGAGGGTTTGACACTCATCTACAGGATGCCCAATAAACCCCCCTTCCCCTTTTAGTGTTCCGCCCTCTACGGCCACGCGTTCTACCTGTTGCGCCGGACGGCCGGCACAATGAGCGAGAAAACGCGGCAACTGCACCGTCGGCTGCTACTGTTACTGGCTGTCCAGGTTGGCGACCGTTTCGAAACTTGCAAAACTAGTCCGCCCTATTTCGGGTTATGCCACCCGAATATCTCGCGCATAGTTCCGGTTTACCTTAAATTGTCCGTCCCGTCCGGCACTAACCCTGGGTGGACATCCGGTTTATTCCGGAAAAGAGCCCGTTCCTGAATTCCGAAAACCCGAATCGCCCTGCACAACCCGAAGAGGTGCCCCGCTCACAAGGGAGATGGTCTCAGCTCGACACCGAGTTTCGATTTGAAAATTTGCACACTGGATAGAGCTCGACGAGACGAATCGATTGGTGTAACTTTCAGCTGCCCATGTGTGATAAAATAGCCGAGTTCATAAGCAGTTTTAAGTTTCTGCATACATTTTGCATTTGATTCGCCCTACCTTCATAAGCCCTCCCCCGTTCCCCCATCACCGTGGCCTGGTGGCTCAGTGGCGTAACCGGTGGTGTATGGGGAATCTATTGAAGGTTCGAACCCGCTCACGATTTTTATTTTTTGCTTTTTGGCACAAATGCTGCCATTCGCTTTCTGAAGGCCTGGAATCAGTTCGCATTCCTTATTTTAACTCTTTCAAGGCGCAGTGACCATAAAACATCTTTTTTCAGAAATTGGAATTTTGACCCCAAGGGGTTTCCAAAAATCGTCCCTGAACGTCCTTTTTAAGGAGGGAATGGCTGTCACAGCTCGGGCAGGCCGTGCACGCGGTCCCTATTGTCCATATGGGGTGTACACGTTGGGACGAGTACACGGCCCCCCTGAACGTTCGCTTTAAAGACCGTCAGAACGATGAAATATCGTTTAGAGCAAGAAAGTTGCGCACCGGGCGGGGGTCGAACCCGCGATGGTTCGGTCCACAGTCCCACGCGCTACGCGCCAAAATCCCCGAAAAGAGCCGCATGTTAGTTGCGATTTTAACGCAGAAAAACCACGCATTAATATTAATTAATGGGAATTTGTAATTTTAGAAAATTGTTTACTATCAAGAAAATGCTAAGCATTCTTAGAACGACGCCCACTTTTTGGGGACACCCAGTATAGTAGGCTTCCAGATAGGCGTCCCCCTGCTAACCATCGTGGGACCCTACTGTGCATTGTTCGTCGCCGTCCACCGGGGTTGGCCAATCACTCAAGGTAACAAATCATCAATTACAACAATTTTGCTGTGGTGCCTGTCCGTCTGTCTGTTTGTCCGTCTGAATCGGGATTCAACTTGTAGGGAGAAAGGGGTCCTTGTAGGGGAACTTGTAGGGAAGGTTCCCGACACTTGCGGCTCCGCATATACAGGGTGTCCCATAAAAAAGCACCCCTCCGCATTTTACCATTTGACATCCGAACGGTCCCAGATTTGGACGAGAGGTGTATTGGACCCTAAATAATCACAATCATGACTTAGAGCCCGCCAGCTACAGTAGTTTTCGAGATACAGCAAAAATAGACTTTATTATACGTTCGTTTTTGTCGGAGTCGACGGTTTGAACCTTAAGAGGAAATGAAGCGGGAAGGCTGCTTTACCCCTAGAAATTTTTTCCTGATACAAATTCATTAAATAACCGGTGATTTCAACAATTTTTGCTACCCAAAGTCACCCCCGATGATAAGCGAAATTTAGGGATTCACCGCCGGAATTTGATGCAAATCGATGCAAGTCCAAAATAGCCGAAAAAACCGTTAAAAATCGCGTAAAAAGCGTATATTGGCGATAACTCGAAAACTACTGTAGCGACCGGGCTATAACTGAGGATTGTGGTTATTTATGGCCGGATACACCCTTGTGCAAAGTATGGGACCGACCGGATGTAATGCGGCGAAATGTCGGAGGGGCGCTTTTTTTTGGTACACCCTGTATATGACGTATACCCGAATGCGCAGTGGAAAACGGTCTCTTCGTGTCCAGCGTCGGAAGCCACGGGGTTGTGTCGAGCCTGTCGATCGTTTTGTTGACGGATTCGTATCGCCAACGTGTATTCGGATTTTTGCGAGCTGAAAAACCGAGGTCAGTCGGTTTGCCATTCGCGAAAGTTTGGGCCCCCGTTTCCAGCGCGACGGTGGCCGTTGAGCCAGGCCGACGACCGATCTTGCTGAACAGAATCTTGGTGCTGCGACGGGTCACCGAAAGGGCGGCCGTAAATTTTGCGAATAAAGGTTGATGGCAGAATTTTTGTATTGTAGCGTTCCGACCTTCGAACCCTATTACCACAATATGTCCCCCGCCAGCACAAAAATGAGGTGAAACATTTGAAGAAAAATTCTGAAATTTTTCACAATTTTAAAGATGTCACAAGATCCGAAACGAATTTTAAAGTGATTATTCCCTTTTAATTTTTTCTATATTACCGACAATCTATTTTCTCTTGCCACCACCATTGAGAGGAACGATCGCGTTAAAAAAGGATGCTTCAGAAAAACCAGGGATCGTTCACTCGCACGTATTTTTAGTGCGGCGAAAAATAGATTTTCGAAAATTATATAATTTTTGCCGGGATTTTTTAACCTCGTACATGCTTAGTAAAATAATTTAATTTTTGGGGGATTGATTTAATTGTTTCTATTGGTTTTATTGGGCATAATTCAAAGCCACGTTCGATAAAAAGTTAAATAAAGATAAAAATTCGGTTGGGAAATCGTTCGGGTTTAAATTCTCGAGCGATAATCCGGACAGGCCAAATGCCGACAGGCCACAATGCGGACAAAAAGCCCCGAAACTGCGATTTTTTTTTGTATTTCTGTCGGCAGTGTGGCTTTCCCCGGTTCGTCTAAAAAATATGTTGCAGGAAACGGTAGAGAAAACCGAGTTAAACGCATTTTTAATCCGTGCGCATTTCTTCTCGAATAAACCATTGGCTTCCTGATTGCTTCCATAATGATGACATTATTATCAGGGCTTACTTCTTATTTAATTAATTTTTGATGATTAATGCATCGATTTAATATGGTTTAATAATAGTATCGATGATCAATTGGCAGTTTCGATTTTAACCCTTGCTACCATTAATAAAATTTGATTGACCAGAGCCCTTAAAAAACATGAAACACTTTAAGTAGAATCTCGGGAAATTATTTTTCTGCGTTTTGAGTTTTGAGAATCCGCTACTAAGGTTAACTCGAAGAGGAAATGAATTCACTATTTAAATTGAATTTAAAATTTAATTTAAACTAATTGAATTAACGTTCTTCCGTTTAATAATTGTTAATTTTGTTACTTAATCTGTTTATGTAATTTTTTATTTGATTAAATGATTATGAGTTTTGAATTAAGAATAGATATTCACAACTCCTTGAACTCCTAAAGTAAATAGCCAATTCGCTAAAGAACAGTCAATAATAGTCGGTTTAGTTTGAATCGATAATAGCGAAACAACTATTAGCAAAAAAACGCCCGCCCCCGACTTCCAAACTTTCATGAAACATTTATCCTCAAAGATTTTTTTATTAATTTCATGTCGAATTTTTCTTATTTTCACTTCTTCCACTCTAGACTGCCCAATCTTTTAGCCTCGTGCCACAGCCATTTACATTTGACCGTGCGAAGGCGCCATTTGACGCTTCTCGCCCTTTGCAGGAAAGAAAATTCCCCTGAAAAAAATTATGTTACATCGAATTTCAAAGCAAACCCGGCCGTGTTTTTTATTAGTGCGCCTCCATTTTGTCAGTTAAAACAAAGCAAAACATTTTATCTATATAACTGATCTTACATCCTCCAATAATGATGATCACCATTAAGCGTTATTCTTTAGCCTTATTTTTGTTGTGTTAGGTATTATTTATCACTTATGTTATTTATGGAACCAGCAAATAGCATAGCCTTTAGATTATACTACCGAGAGTATCCTTAAAAATGCATCGAAAATTATATTTGTCAAATAAGGACAGTTTTAACATTTAGTTGGGTAATTTGTTGGTGTTTATTTATTAAAGCAGCCTGTTTTAATAATAGTCAATCATAAAGCGATTAAGTTTGAATTCACAACGGTGAAATCAGTGGCAAAAAAACAGGCGCTCTGAACCCCAAAAAACCTAGATCAGAAAATTATTTTACGCGATTTTCGCAGAATTTAACATTCTTCCACCTTTTTCACTCTCTAGACCCGCGGGCTATTTTTAGCCTGCCCCACAGCCATGTGCAATTGACTTTACGAAAGCGCCAATTGGGGGCTTTTCACCTCCGGGGGGGGGGCTTCGGAAACACCAATTGGTTGGGTTTCGCTCCCAAATCCCGTCTTGAACAACTTCCTTGCTGAGGTGACTGGGAAAGAAAGCAAAAAAAAATGGTGGAAAAATAAAGCTAACAAAATTTAAGAAAATTTTATGTTTCATGGAGCCCAACCGTTAATTAATCAATGGTCAAATGTTACTTTTTACCTATATCTGAAACATCT